GAATAAACTGAAGAAGGTGAAAACCATGTGGGTGTGTCAGGGGAGCAAGTTACCAGCAGGTGAAGCGTGGGACTCGTGTAGCATCAACCACAGTCCAATCTCTGGAATAATAACAGTCGTGACACTTTCCCAGATGTCAGGGTGGCTCTGCTCTGTGCCAGCCTGTGGCCACAGGAGCCAGCAGAGCCTCAGCAGCCCTGGAAGGACAGCTACAGGAAATAATCTGGACTTGTTCAGGTGATACTCCTGGTATATTCCTTTCGGGAGATGGGAAAATGGTCTAGAAGGTGCAAAGTCACACTGGCTGTCACTTTTTTGACCAGCCAGCAAGTTAGAACTGCATTGGTGTGATCTTCCCACCAGGCCTGCAGCATCCTTCTCCAGGGCAGAGCTGCTCTTTCCAGGAGGTCTGGATGGGAGCACAGAGGACCATTGGGTTTTTGGATAGCAGGAGAACACGCTCCCTGTTTTCTTCAGTTCCACGTGGCTCAGTGGCTTGGTGTCTTGCTCAATAGCTCAGCTGGTCTGTTTTGATTTGGCTCCTTTGATCTATGACAGTTTACTGGATTTAAATGGGAAGAATTCATGATTTTGATTCTTGGTGGTATTCTATATTTTGGACTTAAAACAGCAGTAGTAGTGAAAACTTCTTGGAAAGTGTGTGTGTATATATCTATATATTTATATATATTTATATTTTTTTAATATATATATATGGTAAATGTGGTTTCCTTGTGTTTTCAACTCTTGTTTATCCCAAAAAGAATGGAACATAGGGAAACTTGTTAATGGACCTCACAGGAATGAAAAAGGAGAGGGGCTGTAGTGTTTAGTTTGTGAAGAGGGCAGACATCAGCCTTGGGAACCGTGCTTTTAATTATTAGTCACAAAGTTTGCTTTTAAGGCTGTACAGAATTGGAGGAAACTCGCACGTGGAACTGTGCTTGCACAGAGAGAAGGTTGTGTAACTGGGCTGAGATGACAAAAATCTGTTGTTGAAATCAAACCTGTGTGTCTGTGGGGAATTGTAATTATGTAAAAAATGCAGAGGATACATCTATAACTGAGGGTTGTATCAATGGATTTGTGTAAATAACAAATCATTCCTGTTTTCAGAAACCTTTTCAGAGCATGGGTTTGTCCATGGCAAATTCAGCATGGCCTTGGCAAGTGCAGTCCTGTGGTCTTTGCAGTCACACAAAGCTTTCTTCATCACCTTCAGCTCATCTCACCCTCCTGGTGAGCCTGGCTGAGCACTTGCAGCCCACACGTGTATTTGGTAGTCATTGGTGTGGAAGGAGGAGATTAAAAAGTCACTTCTGGAGCAGGTATAGGAGCTTTCAGGGTATTTCTGGCTTTCCTCACAGTAAAAAACTTATAGACATAAGAATTTCTGGAAAAATAAATGTCCTGTGTGTGCTGGTATAAAGAAGTGCTCCTGAGAATGTGTAAGGCAAGCCCTGGAAGGGAGGGGATAAATAACAACAGCTGGGAAATTGTAATAGGGAAAAAAAGTAAGAAGGATTAAAGCCAATTCTAGGGGAAAAACTTTACTCTTGTGCTTTAAAGCACAGCTCTCATAAGGTATAGCCTTAGTTGCACTGGTTTTCATGAGGCATAATCACATACTTGAAGCTTTTAGAGAGTTCATTCTCTGAAGTACTTTTCCATATCAGGGTTTTAAAAAAACCCACAAAACCACTCATATTGCTGGATTACTTTTTCCATCCAGCATTGCAGTGTATTCCTGTCCCATCCATCCTCAGGCTTTTCACTTGTGTCTGTAGTGTTTTGCAAGGATTTCACTGAAGTCAATTAAATTAATCTGGATTTACCCCGAGAGTTTGCAGAGCAGGAACTGCTACATCCCATTTTTAAGGGTCCTCTCTTTTTCAGACACAGGGCCTGCCTATAAAGGGGTTGGGAGTATTTTTTGAGAGGAGGGTGTAGGACCAGGTGACTGCTGCTGTTTCTTCATCAGTGAATGGCCTTTCCATCAGGGCAACATCAGAGGGACACCCAAAGCAGCTTTTCCTAAAAAGGGAAAGCTAAAAGGGTGCTAGGCGTGGGCCTCCAAATACAGATATGAGGTCTGTGGTTAGCACAGAGGAGTTGTGTGTGTTTAGTATCACTGGGACAGGATGGACACCAAATTCCCAGTTCAGGAAGGTGCAGGATAACTGCAGAGGCGATGGTTTGGAGTGCACCTCTGATGTGCTGTAGGTGATACACAGGAGAGCTAAAAATACCTTCTTCCCCACCAATGTAGAACAAACATCCTGTTAATTATGCACCTTTAAACTTGGTTTGCAAATTGGCTTAATAATATGTAATCATGATTTACTTAGTGACAAATTAGCATTTGACTTTGAATTTTGGATGTCACCTGCATTCCTGGTGTGTTGTTATCGTGGAGCTCGTGTTTGACACTTTGTGGTTTTTAGGTCAACAATGTGAGCACACTGGGGAGCTTTTATCTTCTTATTTCATAAGATTTAACCTAAATCATGGCACTAAGCAACTTCATGTGAATCTGGTTGTGTTATTTATTAAAAGTACACATGACAAAAAAAAAAAGGTTCCTTTTTCCTTCAAATCCAGCCAGTCAGTTGTTGCTGAGTTCCTGGGTTTGTGCCCACAGGATCTGTATTATTGATCACATAACACAATCATTTTTGTCAATAAACAAAAGTCTCCAAGTTTCCCAAGTTAAGACATGTTTGTGACACAAAGAACTGCCCCCAGCAGTTTGGTACATGACAAACTGGGGCGTGTGGAAATCCAGCACACTTTCTGCCCTTTTTTGTTGTTGTTTTTTTTAAAGAAAAAATGAAATTGCTTTTGAAAAGTAGAAATGAATCTTAACTGCCTGTTTCCATTGTGATCCACATTCATTTATTTCTCTGTTTGCTGTGGTTCACATATCTATCAAAACTTCTGGTAATCAAGGAGTCTCAAAACATGAGGCCTGGCAGCCTGACTCCAGTGTCAGGACACTCACAAGGAAGGAGCACAAAAAAGAGGTGAGAGCTGCATTGTGGCCATTTAATAATAAAAATCAACTGGTTGAGGAGGAAAAGCACATTCTGGGTATTTTTTCTGCTTTGTTGTTCGCATGCTGCTGCTCCAGTTGCACAAAGCTCCTGGGAGTCTCTATAGTTGATGGTACATGACTCATTGGTCTTTTGACACTGAGCAGTTTGACACAGAGATTTTTATTTGTATTTCCATGGAGAAATGTATGTACAGATAAAGGTTACAGAGAGAGGTGAATGGCCCTCAAATTGTGTTATCTTTAAAAAGTCTGTTCTCCTCTATAATGTTAAATAGGATGGCAACAATGTCCCTTGCAGAAGGCTCAGAATACTTCTCCATGGTCTGTGTGTGTCCAGCCAGAATGGGGGTGGAGATAATACCTTTTACAGGCTATTTACTTCTCACATAATCAAAGTGGCAGTGGAACAACCCATATTTGCAAGTCCCTTATTGTAAACCAGACCAGGGTAGGAATATTAAGCAAGGGAACGTGACCATACTGCAGTGTTCTTCCCTTTTCCCGTCATTATTGCGGGGCCAGCGATCCCAGGTCCTTTGGCCACTGACTTTTAGGAAGGGTTTTGTATCTATTATTGGTCAGTCCCCAGCAACACTTAATGGGAAGTGCCCGAAATGTATTTGCAAATAAACACCTGGAGCTTGGCAGCAAACTGCCCCAAGCTTTACTTAAACATTTTGTAGGTTCAAAAATGGAAAGGCAGGACAGAAAATGCTAAAGATAACAAGGGGATATGTGCCAGGTAGGTTCTCCTGGAAGCTGCTTCCAGACTGGGAATGATTTTATCTCCCCACTGCCCTCAGGAGCTGCCAGAATTTCTGCTCTTCATTCCCTTAAAGGAGCACAAAGAAGCTGGGCTATGTGAGGGTCAGACCGTGGCCATCCCTCTCCTTTAAAGAAATTATTCAACTGTGCATGATTAACTTTTACTTCCAGTGCATCACTTAGAGCCACTGAGAGCATTTTTCCCAGAAACACAATAGCTACTTTCTTAGCTGCAAAAATCAGTGGGTATTTAACCTTAATAACTTCAATAACCCCAAAGCTGTCACTTGCTGTGAACCCTTTGCTCTGCCTCTTTCTAATGCCCTGCACTTTGTATCTTGTTGGAATTCTTACTCAGTGGTTTATCTCAAAGACATAGCAAGGAAGACTCTGCTGTCTCAAGAAGAGCTCTCCTGACAAACAGCTAGAAGTTTCTCTAGTTATGTCCAGGTATTTCAGAATTTAAAAAATTGCTGTGGAAAAGCTCTGTTTGGGGCAGAGTTGGTTGAAATTCTGTCAAAATGAGATCATTTAAATGAGTGTGGAAGGAGGCTGCGTGCAGGAGTCAGTCATGCCAACCTGCTAATATCCTCAAGTGATTATAAATAGCCTTGTGATAACTTGAAGTGATAGCTTCTCATTTTTGAGTGGTTGTTCTGTGTCTGAGGATAAAGATCCTGTGTTTTGAAGTTTAAAGCCCTCATTTTATACTCATCTATCTTGATGGGGAGATGGGGTAGAGAAAAAAGGGAACAGGACATTACTGTTGGTCCCCAGTCTGCCCTGGCTGCTGATGTAAAGGTGTCAATAAAATAGTCATGGTTTGGAACATGTACAGGTGTGGATATTCTGGGATTTGCTGCTGCAGCTTTCAGGCTTCTATTTCAAATCCTTGCATTTTGTGCACTTCAGGTTTTGGTAAGGCAAATCTTCCTGAGAGGAGAATAAAAGGAATTAAAACCTACATGGGACCTTTCAGTTGATTAAATTTTTCATCCTCTGAGGAAAACCCTTTCTAGAGGTTGGGAAAACAAGGTGGTAAGATTTGCCTAGTTGCAGTTGACTCCAGCAAACAAACTTCATTTTTAGTCTGGAAAACTTGAGAAGGATCCATGGTTATTTTAAAATTAATTACTGCTCTTCTGAAGTCCTGCTGAAAAAAAAAATAAAAAAAAAAAAAAAAAAGAACAGCTAGGCACAAACAGGCAGTAAAATGACTCACAGATGAGGCAAAATCTACCATATGTCAGCTCTGCCTTGGAGCCAGTGGGGTGCTGCCTTTGTTTGTGTCAATGGGATATTTCTGCTGAGGTATTCCAGGACATGCTTCCCATGGCAAAGCCCCGGCACTTGGTGGGTCTGACATGGCAGGAACAGCACTGGGCTGCCTTTTTTCGTTTAGGATTCATTTTTATTTTACAGTTAGGTGCTGAGGCCCTCACAGCACTTAGAATTATAATGTAAATATTTGAATTTTTATTTTTCATAATTGATCACCTGACCTTAACATCTGCTGAGTACAGGAGATGCAGGAGCTGAGGGGGAAGAAACACGTGTGGAACTCTTCAGCAGGGTGTTGGCTCAGCTCTCCTCAGCTATTTCCTCCTGAAGTGTTGGTGCTGAACGTGTGGGCATTTCCTCCCTGCTGGCATCAGTGCCCTGGCTGCTGAGGGCTTTAGTGTGCTCCAGGTCATTTACACTGCCCAGAAAACAGGGAGCAAAGCTTGCTGAGAGGCTCCTGAGCAATTCTCTGTTCAGCGGGCACAGGGCAGGTGGGAATTTCCCTTGGGACATCCCTGGAAAAGGGAAAACTTGCAGTCAGGCCTGGCACAGCCAGATGAATGGCACCTCCAGAATGATGGCTGGAGGTGACGCTGTCCCTGACCAAGGATGGATCCCATGAACCAGGAGGGACAAAAAGCTGATTGAAGTCTTTGCCTTGGAGAGAGAGAGAAAGAGTTGTGCCTTCCTTCCCTAGGAGTAGGGAGATTTGTCATTTTAAGGCCTGTCTCTGGTCACTGTTTAGCCACACCTTCCCAAGCATTGCACAGGCTGTTAAAATGACTGTAGCATCCTGGAGTGCTTTGTCCAAGAGGCTGTGTGGTAAAAAGGTACCAGAATGCTGCAGTGGAGCCTCAGGGCAGGAAAGCAGCTGCTCCAGTAGTGATGGGGATTCTCTTCCTTTGGCTCCCTTGTCTTCTTTGCCCTCATGGATGACAGACAGAGAAAGCAAACTGTTGCCTCCTCGTGCAGCACTGTGACTTGTAGGAGCAGCAAAACCACCTCTGTGTTGCTATGGAGCACTAATAAAATACTTGTTAGTGGGCTTGGCTATTTATGGACCTTCTGCTGGAGCTGCAGTGGGGGTTTCCCTGTTGATCCGTGTCACAGGAAGCTGCACCACAGACACGGAGCTAAAATTGTATTTTACAGTCTGGATCAGCAAATCTTGTGAAGTTCATTGATTAAAGCTCAGCACAAAGTTATTTTTGGATGGCAGTTCTGACCTCTCCCTGACTTTGCAGAGAGAGTTTAGAGACACTCAGGGCTTCTGTGTTCCCCAGCACTTGGGCTGGTACCGAATGGCAGAGGAGGGTGGTGGCCAGGCAGGACACTGGGTGAAGCACAGCTGTGACAAGCACCAGGCAGCTTCTTGTGGAGCCCAGACAGATGTGGCTCGGTGTTTCCTGCAGGAATGGGCTCCCAGCACCTCTCTGAAGGACCCAGGGGCTCAGACAGGGCTGCAGGGAGCTCCTTGGGCAAAAACCTTGTGATTCAATGAATGAGGCTCTGTTAGACTTCCTGGACAGGGGCTTGCTGTAGTAAAAGAGTTGCAGAGCTCTTCGAGAAAGGCAGAATCCTTCTGAAATCTGCAGGTGTAAGAGCTGCCAGAAAAGTTTTAGATGTATTGTACTAAATTCAGTAAAAGTTGAAAGTGAAGTTTCAAGGAGTAATGGGAGAGAAAACATCTAAAATAAATCTCTGAATCTATGTGCTGGAGGGGCAGACAAGGAGAGGAACAAAAAAAGGGGTGAAAGCATTTTATAGAAACTGGAAATCCTTTGTGGAGTGAAGCTGCTCTCTTGTCCCCTTGCTTTGAGAAGGGACTTGATATTTGTCTTCTGGGCCCAACTGAGAGAAAATGTTCTGTGTGATTTAGAATATCAACACAGTTAGTTCAATTCAACTAGAGAAACAAAAATCATGAGACCTCACCTGTGATCAAACCAATCTGGTACCATTCTGTTCTGGTCTCAGACATTCCACAATCAGAAAAACAAGAGAACATCTTCAGATGGGTTCTTTGCTGTATAAGAAATATGGGGTGATTTCTTTTTCACCAGTCAATGTATTTTCAATGTATTTAAACTGAAACTACATACCAAAGTTTAAGTCAGTATTATGAAAAAAATCAACACCAAAAAACCCCAAAACATATCTCCCCACCAAGAATACTCTACACAAAAAAAAAAATCAAAATAATCAACTAACCAAAAAAAAACCCACCCCAGAAGGAATGGTAAATGCACTTTGATTGGTGACCTTGGAGAACTCTCACCTGTAAATGGTACCAGGTGATGGTGCAGACAGGTTTTTATCGTGAACATCTTCTAAGAATGATTATTTGTCTTGATTCATTGCTTGGTAAGAGCCTGTTCCCTCCAGGTCAATCCAGGAACACCATGCACAGCTCCCTGGGATCAGCCAGGGAACTTTGATTGGATTAGTTTCAGGCTCATTATTTTCCAGGGGGGGAGAAAAGTTGGAATCATGTAATAAGATCAGTTACCCTTGGAGGTAATTTAAGTCCTTCTCTCTGCAGTTAATGAGCAAAGTAGACAGGAACCTAAAGATGAAGGTGGCTATGCCAGTGCTGTCAAAAGCTGCATAAAAGTGACTGGAAGTCTAAGACTAAAATAATGATTTTGTGTATAATTAACAGAAAGTTCTCAACAATTGGTATTAATGTTCCTAGGAAGGCGATGCAGGTATTTGGTTATTTGGCTTCAGTCAGACTTTATATGCTTAAAGCAGAATCCCAGCTGATGAAACAGCACAATTTTAAGTCACTGATTCCTGCCTAACGAGCTTCACTGGGAAACTCATTGCCAGCCTTTGTGGAGCACAGTACTTGTGATTAACGGACGAGAGAATTCAATTCACCACGTGAGGCTTTTGAGTTGGGAAGAAATGCAAAGCTTCCATCCCAAACTGCCATTTGTACACTGCTCAATGCAGTATCCCAAATCCTGAAATCAGTTTTTCCCATTTTGTAGAACAGGTTGCTAACATCCAGTCTTTACCTGCTGGAGAAGATTCCTGTCAGGCTTTTGCTGTGCTATCTCAGCACATGTTTTGTATGTGATAATCACTAGTTTCTGTGTGGGGAACTATGAAACTTGTTGGTGCCAGGGATTATCCTACGGATGTTTGTGTCGTGGATTTGGGATACTCAGGAGTGCCTTTGCTGTGCCTGATGGTTTTGTGGGATGCTTTTATTGCCATGGATTGGCTGCTTAGTCTCTATTTACTCAGCCCCTCTGCTTAACTTTAACAGTTCTGCCACTGCAAAGCAGCCCAGAGAATGATTCCTGAGCCGATAACGGCACTGATAAACCCCGGGAAGGGATGGGATGAGCCACTGGAACCGCTCCCTCCGCAGCCACTGAAGGGCTGCCTCCCAGAAGATGGAGCTATTTCCCTGAGACTGCTGATGGAGACCTTGTAAGTTCAGTATCAAATGAACTTGGGGAATTCTTGCAGATGGTAGAGAATTATTCCTCACATCTGAGAGACAGAAGAAAGAAATGAGCGTGCTGACCATAGTTATTTTATTATAAAAGGAAGGTTTGTTTCTTTTTTACCTCAGTAAATTATACTTCTTAACAATAATAGTACATGAAAGTGAGTTCAGTTGCTAGAGTCCAGATGCCAACCTTTTTCCCTTTGAAACTACACTTGATTCTTGGCAGATTTAGGTATATAAAGCATTGCCATCTTCTTGATTTTATCACTTGATTAGAGAGGGGGTATTTGCCTTTCTGACTGCAGTCTCTCCCTTTTTGCTGGGAGTAAATCCATTTACTTCTGTCTGGGATGAAGAGGGCTGTTTATTTCTGGTGTGCTTTGGTTCCCACCCGTGAATGATAAGGCTGGGAGGGATTTTTCAACTTCCACATTGAAAATCGGGCGAGAAATTAATGAGCAGAGAAGAATGAAAGCAAAGGATGGATGTTGATTCCTGCTCAAGGAAGAATGGTTTGTGGGAAGCCACAGTCCCTTGAGCTGGGGCTGAGCAGCAGAGCCCTCCTGGCAGCAGATGATGAAGGAAATTGTAAGTATGTGGGGATTTGAATACATTTATAATGTGCTTTGTGTGTGTTTAGTGTCTGATCTTCTGCCCTTAAAAGCAGTGTTAACCCTCTCCCTCCTGTCCTTCCCTGCTCACCCCCAAAATCTGGGATAAGGCTCTTGGTCTCTCTTAGGCCTGGAGTCTCTCTGGGAACTGGACAGAGCCGCTGTGAATGACACCCAACAACTGCCGGTGTCTCAGCCTCGCTGTGGTGGCTGCTGTGAACATTTTACTTTTCATTTTATTGCTGCAGATCAGATACTGGTTTTTACAGCTCGCATGTGTGCTATCTAAACTGCAAAAAAGATTAAGAAGAAGGGAAGTTTTATAAGCACTGACATGGTTGTCATGACTACCTAAGCCACTTTGCTGGTGCCATACAAGTCTTTCACTTTATCTGTCTAGCTTTTATACAAAAAAAGCCCACATTTATTTTTGCATGAGAGTCTGAAGAAACAGGGCTCAAGAAACACGTGTAAGCATCAATATGTGTGTGGGGTGTGACATGCAGGTGAAGCTGAGGCTCATACCCCCAGTCCAGTCACAAAGGGCTGTGTTAAAGAGTGTGAAGTGCCTTGGCCAGGGAGAGAGCCAGGTGCAAGGTGTCTCTGCTTTGTCTGAACTGACAAAGTTGGAGTGCTGGCAATCAGGGCTCCAAATGACCAGGGGAAACAGGCTGCTCTGACTTACTGGGAGGTGTAGGTGTCCTCTCTGAAGCTGTCAGCATTAGAAAGTTTGAATGTATAGATATCATAAAGAGCCTCCCCATCTCTTTTTTGAAGTCTGTAAGCCTCTTCCACAGGCCTGTAAGGCTGGAACAGCTGGGATGTGTGAATGCTCTCTTGGAAAAGTACAGTTGAACCTCCAAAGCCTTTTTTGGTGGTTTGGGGGTTTTCTTTTTCTTTTTTTTCTTCTGTAAAGGAAGGGTTTGCTCAGTGTCAGGGCTGTGGATCACATGTAAGAGAACAACCAGAAACAGGAATGTTCTGTGTGTAAATGTGAGCATATTCCTGGTGCCTTATTTCAGGCCAGCAATGGGTAATCACAAGGAGAACAAGGAAAAGCACTAAGTGTGTTTGGAAAAAGAAAAGATGTACCATGCTTTGGGCACAGGGTCTCCAAAACAATAAGGGGCAGTTTGAGATAAAGTTTTGTTGCCAGGAGACTGTAACCACGAAACAGAAATGCTGATTAGCTGAGATACTTGTGAGATGATGAAAAAAGACATCTCGGTGTCTGTGTTATGTCAAGAGCATAAAGCAACACAGTTATCGTGGAGAAGCTAAACACAACAACGCAGATCCTAACAGCAGTAAATCCAGCCCAAGTGCAAGTGGTCACAGGCTGATTTAAAGTTTAAGAACGTAGCTGGAGTTGGTCATTAAATGCCCCAGGAGTTAAATTATTGGAGGAGGAGGAAGAAGATGAAGATGTGAAATGTATGCAGCTCTATCATTCTTTGAGCACTGAATCAGCTCAATCCTGTTAGAGAACAGGTAGCTGAGGTGAGAGCAGTCTCTGTAACCTGTGTGTGCACAGCTTTGTGCTTCCCTAAGGAGCCAGGAACTTCTGAAGAGGATCATTACAGCATAAAAAGGCATTTTAAGTTCCAGGTGGGCATCGAAGAGAAAAGTTTAGGAAGAAATCTGAAAGAAATCAAATGAAAGGATACAAGGATAGAATTTCAGAAGACACAGGTCTGGCCATCAGATTCCTTTAATGAGAATAAGAGAACAGTAACTTGCAAAAAAAAGAAGCCCTCTGTTAAAAATCTTCTGGTTTATGTTCCCCTGGAAAGGCTGTCATGGTCAGAGGACAAGAAAATTGTCCACCATGCTGATGAGGCAGGTGTGCATTCCTCTCTGTCATTTGGTTCCTGGCAAATACCTGTGTATGAGAAAACATCTGCACCATGCTCCCATAGCTGGTGGGGATACGAAGGAAGTTTCAAGTAAAACCATTTCAATATGTCCATTTGCTTTTTTTTTAATGTGGTGAGAATCTGGAGTTGTGAAAGCGTTTGCAATTCCTGACAGAACTGTAGACTACTCAGTCATGTTATTAGAATAAAATCAATGATTTATACTAAGCATTCCTAAAAATTGCAAAATGTAATTTAATTATTTTGCCAGTGGGGAAATGGTGAAGAAATGAGTTGTGCTCACTTAACTTAATTTTTGTTTCTTAGCACGAGGTTTGTAATTACTTTAAGTAAGCAAGTTATTTGTTTCTATTAGCGGTAATTGACGAGTAAATGTGGTAGTGACATATTTTCTCCTGTAAAACTCTACTAGCAAGTCCCTGTGGTTAAGAGCTCTGACCTAAATTCCCGTGCCAGGTGTGTCTCCAGTGTGCCATCCCAGAGTCTCAGCTGTCCTTAGCATAATGCACCCATGAGTAATTGGAAGCTGCAGGTCCCTGTTACTCCTCGCTCCCTGCTGCAACACCCCTCAAATCCTTAGCGAGAACAGGCAACACCAGCAAGGTAACGAGGTTTCATTGCTACTTCTCAGCTCATCTGTTCTACTGTGACTAAGGCTGTGCTGCCAGAAACATAAAAGAGGTCTGGATCTCTGTTTTCTACCTGTGGGATAGGTGGAATGTGGAGTCTGTTACTCCAAGAGCTTTTCTTCTGGGACACTGCCGCTGGTTTGTTATTCCCATCCTGGGGGTGGTGTTGGATTCACAGTGTCTGTGAGCAGAGTTCTGCCAGTTCCCAGGTCTTGGCTCCCTGTGCCTCTCCAAATGCTGTTCCCCAGTGTTCTGCAGTGATGGGTGTGATTAGCTGCTGCTATTCTATCGATTGATAGATAGGTTAAAGACAACCTGTCAGGCTTGGCTTCCCTGAAAAACGTGTGAGAGGCTGGATACTTCCAGGAACTGTTTGTCACTGGGTATTTGCTCCTGTAAACAACTGCTGGTAGCTGCCCTCTGTAGATGCTAAATGAAGCTGCCATTTCCCCTGCCTTGGGAAACCACAGCGTGTCCTCAGAACCCCACAGGAGTCACTGGGGCAGCTTTTAACAGCCTATGGCATAGTTAGTAGGGAATGCCCAATCCCCTGCAGCTCACAGATGGTTCTGGAGCTCCTCGAAGCTGAACGTCATTGAGTAATTTAAAAAACCAAGAGTTTGTAAAAATTAAGGGGTTTTTCATAGGCAGAGTGCAGCTCAAAGAACATGCTCTGTGTAGCTCACCCCCAAGTAACTCAGGAGTGAGAAATTACAGAAAAAAAGACCGGGAAAACACACAGAAATCCACAGGGAATCCTAGCTGTCTGTTTTCTCTCTTCTCAATTCAATTATTTCCTGCCACGAGGAGATGTAGGATAATAAACAGAATTATCACCTGGGAAAGGACAATGCCGAGTGATGAGTGCATTGTGTGGCAGCAATCTCTTCATTGTGCTGGGAGATGACGAAAACCATTCCTAACAAGGGCTCTCATTGCTTGCAAACTCAGCCATCGCTGATCAGCACCTCACGGATTAGGGATGTTCAGGAGAAGCCAACTATCTGCAACAAAGGAGTACATTTTCTCAGGATAAAAAAGCAAACTGAGGATTACAAGGACCCAACAGTCTTTAGCTGCAGAAAATCCTTGTTTCAGGTTTCTTACCTCTTCTTAAAGGCTTGGAATAAATAACATTGATTTCCTTTAAAACTTAATGTGTTCGCTGTTAAAGTATTCACACAGCTTAGAACAGAGAAGGGATTATTTTGCTTTTAAGTCTTCCTTCAATGTGACAGGAGATCTATTCTGTCAAATTTGTCTACAAATTATAAAATTGTAGACAAATATTAAATATATTTGTACTTATTTGAGCAGTTCCTTCTCACCTACTTAATGGAGATGAAAACATTTTTGGAAGCTTTCCAGTTCCTGTCTCTTTGGGTCAATGCAGATATGTAGATGGTAGGGGAAGGCTCTTAAATTGGGATCAGTGGAGCTGTTCCCTTGAGCTCTTTTTCCTGCCTCACCTGCCCTTTGAGCACTTTCCTGGCAGTGATACCTCTGAATCCAAAGGAAATACCTGAGTGAAGGTTCATTGTGTGCAGTCTCTGTATTGTTTTGTTGTTTCCTAGTGCTGAACTCCCAACCAGTCCGTAACATCTGGCTGCATTTATCCACTTGGCACAGAAATTCTCTTTTAAGTGCTTTGCTTCTGCAGAGTCATGGAAGATATTCTCAGGAGCTGACCCACAGCAAAACATAACCTGGAAGAGCAGAGCAGCCACGGATCACCTGCTGGGGCATAATTGATCCCAGTCCCTGCTTTCTGGGCACAGGGAATCGAAGCCCTTCCCGCTGGGGATTTGCCTGACTCGCAGTTGTCTCTCCATGAAGGCCTCGTGGTCAGTGCTGGCCCCAGACTGGAGTGGGAGGCACTGAGTGGGAGAAAGAGGCAGCCCTGGCAGCATCAGGGGCAGTGTTTGTTCTCTAGGTGAGGTGCTGGGCTCTCAAGCAGAGAGAAGCAGGAGCCACGGTAATACCTCAGTGCTCCGGGCATCGGGGTTTGCAGAAATTCCCTGGAGTTGCTGCCACATGCAGAGTTCAGCTGTGGCTTGTAAGCTGCTTAAATATTAAATGGCTATTGATTTCTTATCCTGGGAAACTTGATTGTTTAAGCCAACTGAAACCTCTGTAGGTCCCTAACAAAACTGGAAGTGATGGGTTTGAAGGGAGAAAATGGTAGAGCAGCTGGAGGGGGGAATGGCCATTACTGCAACCAGGGTGCGAATGCCAGGAAAAATAACCTGAAAAGCCTGGATTGCCTTGGGCTGGTGATGGTCTGGGACCAGTGCAGGGCTCAGTGGCTGGTAGAGAATACTCACACTAAAGGACTTTGCAGTTAAACTGGGGAGGATTAGGGATGGATTTAGAAATAAGGTTGTTCCTAACTCAGAGGCTGGGGCTGAGGGACATTCCTTTCTCCTGTGGTTCATGTTGTGGCTTAAATCCACTACAAAGAGTTTCCAGGTAAAGTTATTCAGCATTAAGTGTTCAGCCCTTGGAGACCTACAGGGAAGAAGCCAAGGAAGTGAGGAGCATATTCTTGCAGTGTTTTTCCATCCAGCCCTGGCCCTTTGATCTGAAATGTGTGACCTGAAACATGCCAATTCTATAGCAGCATATCCAAGCCCTCTGTTCAAGTTCAAGTGTTGAATAGAGAAGAGTCATTTGCAGAGGTGGATTTAAACTTCTTCAGAGTTTTGAAAGATTCTATTTTTAATGAAATTCTCTTCACTATCTGTTTCAGATCACAAAATCTCTGCTACATACTTTTATTTTCTCACCTGACTTTGGCAGTGTCTGGGTTTGCTGTGGCTCTCCAGGCTGTATTTTTCCTTTATTTTAAAACTGCCAGACATTTAAAAATGAGCAAGCTCCTGATTAATAACTAATTGGCTTTAGCAAACAGCTCTTGCTGGGTGGTTACCTTGAGCCAATTCTTATTAGTATTCCAACACATGCAGGAGGAAGCGTTCTCCCTCGTTGGAGGCTGATGTTACATCTCTTTAGCCACTTATAAAATAAAGCTAAGTGAATTAGTATTGATTCCCTTACTTGTAATAACAGGAATGCAACCTAATCGCCTCTCCAAATCACCCAGGCATTCCTGACTGAGGCTGGAATGGAAAAAATGTATGGAGAGGACAGGAATTTTGTGGTGTTAAGAGCAACTCCCTGTGACAGGCACTTTCCCAGGCAGAGCTTGCTCCCCACCTGGGAAGTGAGAAACATTTTGAATATTACAGTTGCTGGGTACAAGAAGTTTTTCCTTCCATGGTGTCTTGACTTATGTTTGGGTTTTATATTGACAGCAGAGATTAATTAATATTTTACAGGCTTTGCTCAGAAGTTCAATCCCCCAAAGCATTTCTTCTGTTTTGTTAAGCTCACACTCCCACTCTTAGGGAGAGAGTTTCTTCTTTATCAACTTTTCTGAGCAGGTCAGTCAATTTATATCTCTTATTACTCCAAATGCAGGTATGGTGGAGAGAAAGAAAGACAGATATGAAGTTATTAAGATTTTCTGAGCAGCTTCTTCCTTTTCCTGTCTGAATAATTCTTCCCTCCCTCAGTCTTAAAGAGGCTAAACCCTCCTCTCTTCCCGCAAATGCTGGAACACCAGAGCAGAACACTGTGTTATGCTGGACAATTCACAGAAGTTCTGTGCACTGAAAATCCTCAAAATACCTGTGCTGCTGCCAGAAATGCTGCTGCTGTTCAAAAAATAAAATAATAAATAAAAAAGAGACCATAGCAGAATAGAATTTGTCATTAAGAAATGCTGACCAGCTTTTCTGGTCAACCCACTTTGTGCTCAGTGTTTGACTGGCTGCAGGGAGCTATTCCTGGGTAATGCTGCTCCTGGTCAAGGTCACACAAATACCCAAAAGATGCCATGCACAGCTTTTGCAGGGCATTTAGGATTTAATCAAACCCAGAGAGGAAAGGAACTTGAAAAGTAGATGAAATTGGGTTTTGAAATGTTTAACCTAAACTACGGATGTTTACACACAGAGCTGAGTTTAGAGAGAGGTTTGTTCTTCACTGAGTTTTTCCATGTGTAGTTCTTCCACTCTTCATTGCCTCAGGTTTCCAAAACTTACGGCAGAATTGCATCTTCAGTGAAGGTTCCATGGAATGTCACCTGCTGTGACATCCCAGTGTCTCTCTGCCCTGCCCGAGGTGTGTGACACACCCACTGGGCTTTGTTGGTGTGGTCTTGGTTGATCCTGAAACCACAGAAAGGGACCCACCCGGCTCCCAGTTTATTGTCACTCACAGATTTATTAATTCTCTTCCAAAAACCATCAATCAAACAATCCTTGTAGTGGCTGTTTGTGTGCAGTGTGTAGAGACAAACATTAGAATTGAATATGGAATAAACTTCCTTGGGGAGACTGTTTTCTTTGAGTGAGCAGTAACCAAGATGCATTTCAGAGGACAGAAAAAGGGAACTTTATTTTATTCAGAAACCCCTTGCATCTCTCAAAATGTAACACTCAATGCATTTGTGCAATCACGAAAGTGATAATAATATCTTCCCTATTTCTCATGCTCCTTTCTACTTAATCAAACATCTGTTCCATTGCCAGAGTGATGCTTCCCACCTGCTACAGATGAGCCTGGAATGTTTGGTGCTTTTATTCCAGAGAGCTTTCACAACACAAGTCAGAACAGATCTTACTTGATATTCTTTTTGTTGCTGTTGATTTTGTGATGCCAACAAACTCTGCAGCAATTTGCTATAAATGCAGTGGTAAGGAAGGAATTTTCATTAAAAAAAATAGGTAGAAAATTGCAAACTAAAACCCAGTGATCAGGACTTTGCTGAGGTAGAAAATCTCTAACAATCAGTTTAAGCAAGGTTGGGGTGTGCTATCAAGGGCTGGCTTGAGACACCTGTGGAGGCTCCCTCTGGAGTTGGGGTAACTCCTACTAGAATGTTCCTTTGTCTGACAACCCAAGGGCTGCCTGGAAGCTGAATTCCCAAAGCTATTCCCAGGTCCTGTTGTGCAGGCTGTAGGACCCAGCTTTCCCATGGGAACACTGTGCCTGTTTGAGAGGGAGGCACTCTCAGGAAGCTGAATGTTTCATTTAACCATTTGTTTTTGAAGCAGATAGAGGAATTCTGCAGTCTCTCCCAGCTGGAATTTCACTGTTGCCAGTGGAATTGCCAGTGTGTTGGTATGGGTGTCACATATAAAATAACTCCACATTTCTGTTTCCTTCATGGTGATTGTGATGTGAAAGAAACTAGGTTGGGTCCTGAGGTATGGTAAAATGTATTTTGTCATGTGCAGGGACAGTGAAGGCCTTTGAGGCACTTTTATTGAGCATGAGTTACTGCTAGGTTGGCTCAGGGTTTAAAAATAAAATTCAAGCCCTGAAAAGCCCTTTTCCAGCCATTTTTCACTTCCATTTTTTTCCATTCCTTTTCCTGCCGCTGTGCTGTACAGACCTGTGTGGTGCTTAGGATATACAAATTATTTTTCAAGTTAAAACGTTCATATCTCAGGATGAAAAGTTACCCATGTAATTCCTACCATTGCACGACAGTGATCACCAGCAGGAGTTGTGGGATTCTTTAACCAGTGAGAATCAGGATAGATTCCTGGTACAGCAGGAATTTATACATATGAAAGCTGATTTCTTTATGATTAAAGGCCAGTTTGACAGGCTATGGTCTGGTGATTCATGATTTTAAAAAAATATATATCTTTCAGAAAACAGAAGCCTTCAAGCTTTTCACCTGTTTTTAACCTGAACATCGTTCTTCCCTGAGAGCCTTTTAGAATTTGCACACAGACATGATCTATTTGCCTTTGTCCTATCTGGAAATAACTATTTTGAATCAGGAAAAGTATTTTCCTGCTTAATGTTTTTTCTTCACTTTCAAGATTTATTTTTTTTTTTCCATCCTGAAGTAAAAAATGGTTTGCTTCTGAATACTGCCACCTATTAACACCCTCTGCTAAATGAAATTCAAGCCTTTGAGCTGCAT